GAAAAGTTGTAAAAAATAAATTAAATTTATTTCAGATATAATTATATTTTTATATATTCGTTCTAAAACAAATTTTATAATATTTTATTAATATTTTAATTTAATGATATAATTTTATGTATAAATGTATTTTTTTTAAATCACAATGGAAAGTTTTTAGAGGGAAAAAATAGTAATTTTCATCATAAAAAAATGGCCATTCTTTCTATAATCGTTCACAAACAGCTGACACAAATGTCTTCAACAGCGGGAATTTATTTTGTTTTTATTTTTATTTCTTGCATTTTTATTTCTTCTGAATGCTTCAAAAGATAAAATATGATTTCCACAAAATAAGAAAAAAATATAACATTAAAACTAAATCTAACTTTAATTTTAAAAAAAATCCGGTTATTTAAAAAATTTAATTACATTTTTTACCGCGAGATGGCGCCACGAATAAAATGCGTTTCATTATTACGTAATAATGGGTTTTGATGACGTGGAAAATATTTTAACATAAAGTATAATATTTAATGAGATTTTTTTAAATTCGAAATAATTTCTTTTTAATACAGTAAAATTATTTTAAAATAGTTTTAAATGTTAATAACAGAGAGCGCCACGTGTACTTAATAAGGTTCCTTGTAAAAAGTTAAAACAAATTGATTTTTTCACTAAGAAATTTCAAAATTTAGCTTGGATCCATTCCAAGTTCCGTTGAGAAATGACGATTTATCATCGTTGCATTAATTATTTTTTAAGTTTTAGCTAAACTTTTTCTCTAGGATAATTATTAATTCTTACTTTTTACCACTCCAAAAAAAGGAGTGAAGTACAGGATTAATGGAAAGTTTATTCCATCTTGAAAAATGATTATTCATCTTTAGTTAAAGAAAACAGGAATCGTTTACCTAATAAAAATAATCCTGTAATCTCTACTTCACAGAAACATCCATTTAAACTGATTAAAGCTAGCAGAAAATTACCATGCTGATCCCCAAGGAAAAGTTATTATACTTAAGAATAACAATCAAAGTGTTAACATCCCCCTTCTTCACTTTTTCCGTTCGTCTCTTTTCATTTTCATTGTATCTCTAGAGATGGTTTTAGAAATGTTAATAAACCCTTACGCTAATTGGGAACATCGTTCTTTGCTTCTTACAACTCTTCACTCACTTTAATGCAACATGCATTTTCTCACTCCATAGAGATTTTCCTTCACTTTCTACAGTCTCGAGTGTTAATACGTGTCATACACTACGTATTATTTATTCACTTCCATATAGTTAAAAAGAATGGAAAATTTAAGTTGAATTTAATTGCTCTTGTAAATTTCTTCTTCTTCTTCTTCTTCTGTTTTTGTAATGGAACTTTTAAAGGAAATTTGGATTTCTAAAATAAATTCGTGATTCTTTTCAAAGTAGTAACTGTAGTTTCCTTCGTAAGCAGTACTTTCCCATAAAGCAGTAATTATTCAGGAAAGGAATTACACTTAAAAGGAACTTCTCTTGTTACAAGAGCATCTCGGAAATTTAGTATTCCATAGAGTAAAATGCGGAAAACTTTGAGAGGATAACACTAAATCGCTATCTTTGTAGTGTGAATGCTAAATTTATCCTATGATTACACGCTTTGAACATTGGCTAAAACGAAAAAAATGGTTTATAATTATGTAATTAATACTTTGTGAGTGAAAAGGTGTTAAGTTTGTAGAAGATTTCTTGAAGTTTCTTAATTTTAACATTACTTTTCACCAAGAAAAATTACTGCAGTTTTTAAATAAGTGCTTTGTTAACAAGTACGAAATTTTGAACTCAATATTCCTTCCTACTACAAAATTAATTAAACTACTTGCAACATTTATAAGAAATTATTTCACTTGAATTTAAATTTTGACAGAATTAATTAATTTAAATTTTTTCCTTTTTTTCATAAAACATAAAAATATTTATAATGCTCTATGAGTAATTCTGTAAACGAAATTTCAAGATATAAATTTAATATATATTTTACTACTAATAATAATGGAGAATTTTATTAAAATGAGAATTTATTGATTAATTTCTGATTTAATTTATTATAATAACAGACTTAACACTATTTAGTGACAGTAATTTTATGTTGTCTGATTTTAAGATAATTACAATATATTTAATAAAATTTTTACATTGATTAAAATTGTGAGCATTAGACAATCATACTGTAAATTAATACTGATTAATTAAGTTTTTTTAAATATTTATATCTAGAAAAATTATTAGAAAATATACATTAATTACTACCCTCAAATCACCTCATTATTTGAGGGCCTGCAATTTAGTGAAAAACTGGATTTAGCCTAGTTTTAAAAGCAAACATATGTTGACGTCATCTATTCTCCATTCAGTGGGCATTATGAAAGCCTTTTAAACTTGTCAACAAGGACCAGAAAGATTCTCATTAGGAGTGACCGTTTTGGTGAGGTCAAAGTTCAACATATTTACGCTAACCCACGTATAAAAAATTCTCTGAATCAGCCAGGTTCGAACCCAGATCCTCCAGATTAAAACAGCTACAACTTTACCAACTCAACCATCAGGACACTTGATAAAAATACATCAGAAATTATATAATTAGTTATCAT